CCCAAAACCCCAAAACCCCAAAACCCCAAAACCCCTTAGATTTTAAATTAAGAAATAAATTTTCAGAAATGATCAATTACGACCTGGAAAGCAGCCAATTAATCGACGACATCTGGAAGCAGAAAGCCATCGCCGACCAACAATTTAAGTTCAAGAGGACTAATCTCGCAGCCAAAGAGGAAGCTGGGTTTAAGGACTCCAGACTGACTAGTTATGGGTAATATTTATGAGTCTAGTTAGGGGTTGGAGGATTTTGATTTTGATAAATTTCATATAGCAACCTTAAGTCTATTGAGAAATAGCGTCCTCACTTCTAAAAAACCAAGCACTGGGTATGAAACTTACACACATTGATCTGCAAGGAAGAGGAGCAAAACTAATAAAAACTTTAATTTGACTCATATGGCCCAGAAGTTTAGAAAATAGCTTGAATTCTTCCCACAGAGTGATCATAAACCAGAGGTAAGATATTGATGCCTTGTTCTGTATTGTCATATTCTAAACTGTCATCTTCAGTTTTGGAGGGAATGCTACTAATCATTTTCAGAGTAGAGGATAATTTTTTATGATCTGCCTTTCTCATTCATATGGCTAGATTTAGTTTCCTTCTAAATTCTTTCTACAGGAAAATCAACAAATAAAGAGCAAAAGTTACATTTAAGAGATCCTAAGTCTCAGGATAGGAAGAAGAAGCTCAAAAAATTTGTGAAGAATTACTTCAATGCATGATTAGGGCCTCAGAAATGTATTATAGTTGTCTGATTCATTTCTAGGGGGACCTCAGAGACAAAATTTTCACCAGATCAGTCTTCGTAAGAGGTACCTCCCCTAGCTTGACTATTCTAGAATCACTGAAGCATATAACCTCAACAAGCGGGCCAAGGGGCATTCTAAGAAAACAATCAGGCTGAAGAAGTTGGTCAACCCCAAACTTCTGGATGGAGTTAACGAGAAAGGCTTTAAAAATCTTAAAGTTGGTAGGAGGAGCACTCAACCCTCCAAAAGACACAATAGCAGGATCTTTATGAAGATCGTATGGTTTTCACTTCATTTTTAGGACAAAGAAATGGACAATGAGCTCTATCATATTACTATTAAGAAGAATATGAAGAAGAAAAATCTCACTATTAGCGCTAGGAATGACAAGTAGCAGCTTTTGTATAAAATTTAGGAGCCAAAGCAAGAAGTCTGATTACAAGATAAAAATACCTAAGCACAAGGCTAATGAGGTTCTAGAAACTCAGTTTGGAGGCAGCCTGCTTAATTTGACAGATAGCCTGTGCATTAAAAACAGAAAGTATAGTTCTTATTTAGCGTTATAGATTATTGCTCATTCATCCAAGTTTGAATTCTGAAAACACCGAAAATTTGATGACTTTAGCAAACCATAATCCTGCTTTAAATGAGCAGTCTGAGAATACCCTCGAGTCAATAAATGAGAATGCTTTGGGTAATGCTTTGCTTTCAGAGGCTCAAAATTTGCCAAGGATTTCCGCATCAAAAACTGCTGAAAATTTCAGAACAAAATAAGCATTCAATATATATCGGTCTATTTGGGGTTTTGGGGTTTTGGGGTTTTGGGGTTTTGGGG